CCCCAAAACCCCAAAACCCCAAAACCCCAAAACCCCTTAGAAACCATAAACAATTGAATTAAAGATGAAAGGATCTTCTAAAGGGTATTTTGAGTTCACCTTCTACCACTTAGACAATGGTTATTGCTTAACACGAATTAGAAGATTTCATTGATCGTAAAAATTTACAGAAAGTTTTGAAATGTTAAAATACAGTTCTGAAAGTTGATCTTGTCTGTTGGAGAATTGATGCTAAAATTTCTATTCTGGTTCTTATCTAAAGCCTAGTATTTTTTACAGCCGTTTGGTCTTTTTGAGGCTATAGAGAGTAATCTTCTCGTACAGAATTGTATTGGAAAGCAAAGTAGATATTCAGAGAGGAATCAAGGATGAAATCGAGTATTTAAAAGTAGATGACAAGGTACAAAAGCTTTCAATTGGGAATTTATTTGATATTTTTGGTAACTTTGCAATAGAGCGAAAGAAATGCCCAGGCTAAGAAACATAAGAAATGGAAATAAAATGATCAAGAAAGGCATGCATAGTGCAATGATTATGCAGATGAGGAAAATGTAATACATTTCTCTGTTGAATTATTTAAGTTTTAGCAAAACTTTTATTTATGATATTTAGAAAAACTAATCCTAAGTCTATTCATTTGGATCATATACCAACTCCTGGAAGTCTACAAAGACATAGAAGTATTGTAGAAAAAGGAAAGATTTTACCTCCAAAGAATCGGTTAAAATCTCCCTATTTAAGAGGAGGAAGAGTCCAGGAGTTTGTTACAAATTTCCCAAGAAGGCTTAGTAAACTTCCTGATGCTATTCGTCCATCATTCCCTCAACCCCAAGTAGGTTATTCACTCTGACACCTAGCATTGGGCTATCAATATTGAAAAGCCAAAGACTCCTAGTAAAAATTAAAGGTGACTCCATAATTCTTGAATCAGAACATGCAACAGATATGTCTAGAAGAGATAGCTTTAAAATAGGCCAAATTCAGATAACAACTCAAGAAGGAGGAACATTCGACAAGACTGAGTGTAAGCTCCCAGAAACTCTATCTGACTCTCTTGAGTCAGAAAGTAAAAAGAAGCAACAATGCTCTCCAAGCTTCCATGTTGTACGAATGGAACCAACTCCGAAGAAATAAAATAATAAAGAGGAATAGAATAAGGCGTTCTTGAAGGAGAGATAAGACTATGTCACAACATTTTAAGCTTAAAAGACCTGAATTGCCAAGACAGAATGTTGATTTGAAGTAGCTCCTTTGTAAATTTTAGGGATATCTCAAATCCAACTAATTATAAATCGAGTTTTGCGAAGAACCCTAATAAGACAAAGGAAATTACTGAGGCAGAGGTGACCATTCCTATGCATTTGAAGACTGAAAGTTTTAAACTTACGAAATAAGCTTCATAGCTTCGGCAAGCGTAATTATAAAGCCTCATATCTTAGATGCCAAATCTTCAAGCTTGGGTATGAATTTTTTAAAAGAGGATTCACAAGCTGATACAAAAAGGAGTAACTTGACTACTCTTGATAACCATGAAATAATTTCAAAGATGAGTTCCTCCAATGGATTCTGCAATCTCCAAAATTGGGAGAAGATTAAGAAGATTAAGTCTAGAGCAACTCCTAGAGTCTTTAAAGTCCAGGAACAAATCTTAAAGCAAGATGCCATTAATTCAAGTAATTTTTAAGAAATATTCATAGAAAAAATAAAAGAAGCTTGAAAGAAATGAGTGAAAAATTCAATGATTCTCAGGAACAAAGCTCGATTTGTCAATGTAGTTCCTCTCTAATTATTTTTAGCAAGAGATTGAGGATCAATCATTAGAGAAATCTCTAAGCAGGCCTACAGTCCACCCTGATAGCAAGATGATGAACTACATACTTGAACTTCTTGAGCAAGATAGATCTGATAAAGGCAATATTTTTAAATAAGTGTGAAAAGTGTAAAGGTACCTTCATCCTCTTAATCTGCATAGCTGAGGACATTAAGGTCATCAATGAGACTGGTATGAGGAGGACATTCCAGTGATTCCACAGAAGTGGCATCAAGAAGTTTAGAAATATGAAAAGTAACCCCATTCTTCTAAAGCATATGTATGCAAAGAACTTCATGAAGTATGACCTGAAGGTTCTTGGAAGCCAGAAGGAGCAGTTCTTTATACTATATGGAGAGTTAGAGATCTTTAAAAAGAAAGCACTTATTCTAAAAGCCTTCTTTCAGAGAACTCCTCCCTGTGTGAGTGGTAAGTCTTTGTAAAGAAGCTTTAGTTAACGAAGAAGGAGAGAATGTCAAGGATTGGAACAGCTTTTATTGTGGCATCTCTAAGAAACACAAATAAGAAACTTAATAACATGCTGAAAGAGCTGCTTATAATACTTTATGACGTAAGTAATATTGTACTTCAGGAGTTGGCAGATGAGCCTGAGAAGATCGGGATTGACCCAGTTAAGTACCTGTATGAACTTCACATGAATCTATTGAAGGATATAAAACTGACTTACGAGGCAGAATTCGTAGCCCATATAGAATTACTTGAGGATATGGTTGAATTTTACAGTTCTTCAGTATATGTCTACCTTATTCTAAACAGATCCTATGAAAGACCAATCATAAAAGTTCCTCGTGTTAAATAAATGCATTGATAAAATCATGAAGGGGACTTCTTTTTCTATTGAGCTAACTTCTGTATTTAAAGAGATGTACAAGAACATGAAAAATCATAAACAAATTCAAGATAATATTGAAGAAATTGAGAAGCTAGTAAAGCCAGATTCTCCTCCTGAAGAGCCTAAACCTACATTTCTGAATACATTGATTAGCTTAGGATGGACTAAAAAGTAAGGTGTCTGTTAAATTTTAGGTCTAAAGAAAATAAAGAGACTGACGCGAAAGAGAATACTCAGAGACAAGGAGTACCTCGGACTGCTCAAATGGCTGGAAACTTTTATGAGACTCCTAAGAATATTAAAAATGTACAAATGAGGATGCTGAAGTCTCAGAGAAATGAGAAGTATAATGATGAGCAAAGGGAGCTATAGCAGTGGAACTAGTTAAAAAAGGCTATGAGCACTGCCCAATGGTAGACAAGAATTTAATCGCAAATTCGATTGATGATATTGTGAAGGGATATTATCGTAAAACAAAAAGCCATACAAAAAGCATTCCGCTCCTTCATTCTAAATTTGAGGTGCTATAATTTATTCAAACCTATCTAACCACAAAGGGGTTTTGGGGTTTTGGGGTTTTGGGG